AGCATAACATAAGTGTACTCTATATACCCTGACCTAAAAGCAATAAATCTACATCAATATCAGTGCCAGGTGCATGTGCGTTTTCAGCATCACAATATATCCACATAAATATTGGGTGTATATACAAAATATACAACCCTCATATAATACAATATGCAACAAAAATGTCCGTATCACGATTCTGCCCGCGATACAAAACGCCTAGATGTAAATAGAGACTTACTATTTTCTTAAAAACTGAGCTACCCTTGCACATTTCATAGCACCCAATGATTGTCTATAGTACCACTCTGTATACCAGATATTGTATGTGACATTTCATAGCACCCAATGATTGTCTATGGTACCACTCTGTATACCAGATATTTTATGTGACATTTCATAGCACCCAATGATTGTCTATGGTACCACTCTGTATACCAGATATTTTATGTGACATTTCATAGCACCCAATGATTGTCTATGGTACCACTCTGTATACCAGATATTGTATGTGACATTTCATAGCACCTAATGATTGTCTATGGTACCACTCTGTATACCAGATATTGTATGTGACATTTCATAGCACCCAATGATTGTCTATGGTAGCACTCTGTATACCAGATATTTTATGTGACATTTCATAGCACCCAATGATTGTCTATGGTACCACCCTGTATACCAGATATTGTATGTGACATTTCATAGCACCCAATGATTGTCTATGGTACCACTCTGTATACCAGATATTGTATGATGAACTTTCATAGCACCCAAATGATTGTCTATGGTACCACTCTGTATATACCAGATATTGTATGTGACATTTCATAGCACCAATGATTGTCTATGGTACCACTCTGTATACCAGATATTTTATGTGACATTTCATAGCACCCAATGATTGTCTATGGTACCACTCTGTATACCAGATATTTTATGTGACATTTCATAGCACCCAATGATTGTCTATGGTACCACTCTGTATACCAGATACCAGATATTTTATGTGACATTTCATAGCACCCAATGATTGTCTATAGTACCACTCTGTATACCAGATATTGTATGTGACATTTCATAGCACCCAATGATTGTCTATGGTACCACCCTGTATACCAGATATTGTATGTGACATTTCATAGCACCCAATGATTGTCTATGGTACCACTCTGTATACCAGATATTGTATGTGACATTTCATAGCACCTAATGATTGTCTATGGTACCACTCTGTATACCAGATATTGTATGTGACATTTCATAGCACCTAATGATTGTCTATGGTACCACTCTGTATACCAGATATTTTATGTGACATTTCATAGCACCTAATGATTGTCTATAGTACCACTCTGTATACCAGATATTTTATGTGACATTTCATAGCACCCAATGATTGTCTATGGTACCACTCTGTATACCAGATATTTTATGTGACATTTCATAGCACCCAATGATTGTCTATAGTACCACTCTGTATACCAGATATTGTATGTGACATTTCATAGCACCTAATGATTGTCTATGGTACCACTCTGTATACCAGATATTGTATGTGACATTTCATAGCACCCAATGATTGTCTATGGTACCACCCTGTATACCAGATATTGTATGTGACATTTCATAGCACCCAATGATTGTCTATGGTACCACTCTGTATACCAGATATTGTATGTGACATTTCATAGCACCTAATGATTGTCTATAGTACCACTCTGTATACCAGATATTGTATGTGACATTTCATAGCACCTAATGATTGTCTATGGTACCACTCTGTATACCAGATATTTTATGTGACATTTCATAGCACCTAATGATTGTCTATGGTACCACTCTGTATACCAGATATTGTATGTGACATTTCATAGCACCCAATGATTGTCTATGGTACCACTCTGTATACCAGATATTTTATGTGACATTTCATAGCACCCAATGATTGTCTATGGTACCACTCTGTATACCAGATATTGTATGTGACATTTCATAGCACCTAATGATTGTCTATGGTACCACTCTGTATACCAGATATTTTATGTGACATTTCATAGCACCCAATGATTGTCTATGGTACCACTCTGTATACCAGATATTTTATGTGACATTTCATTGCATTTCTGCTTCTCTCAATGAATTGAACTTTACACTAGTAAAACATGATTTTTTTTACCTTGTCTACTGTTAGGGAGGTAGTACCATTGTATCAAGAAGGTCTGGTTAAGGCAATGAGATTTTTTTTATCTTCTATAAAGGATTAGTTCACCTTTACCAAAAAACTGCCTATGCAGGTAAGGGGTGTCTGTAGATAAAAACAAACTGGACAGCTCTGATTAAAGTTGAATAATGCTTTTGCTATAGGTGTAGGCCATATACATACCTCGTGAAGCCTGACTGGAATACTCCCAGGACGTTGCTAAGTGAGGCCTACATGGTACTGTTCACTTCCTCCATCACAGGAGTGAGCTCTCAGATGCTGAGCTTAGGGCTACTACATCAGGGGAGAGATAGAGCATGTAAGGAGGTCTGAATCAGAGAAAAAGCTCACCCCTGTGATGATGGGGATGAGCAGTAATGACCAGGCATCACTTAGCAACGTCCTAGCAACTTCCTGGGAGTATTCCAGGCAGGCTTCATGGGGTATGTAAATGGCCTACACTTATAGAAAGGACATTATTCAACTTTAGTTAGAGACGCAGTTTGTTTTTATCCACAGATGCCTCTTACCTGCATAGTTTTTTGGTGAACTATCCCTTTAACCACTTCCCGTCCAGCCCATGTTTATAAATGGCCGGACGGGAGCAATGCAGGGGCGGGTGGCCGTTTATAAACGTCCTCCCTGCTTCCCTACTTGTGCGCGCTCAAGCACGCAACACCGCGATCTGGTGCCTGCTGTGTCTGGGGGACACAGATCGTTGTACGGGACCTCTGTATGAGGTCCCGATCATGTGATCATTGATTGGCCAATCAGTGATCACATGAAGAGTAGTAAGCAAGGGTGCCACTTCTGACATCTTTGCTTACTACGTATGAAATCTGTGAATGATCAGAGATCACATGGTACAAGGCTATTCACAACAGCCTTGTATCATGTGACAAGCTGTGACCAATCACAGTTCACACAGTATTTCTCAATGGCTGCAAGAATGCAGCCAGAAAGAAGGAGAAATAATTGCTTTTTCAGCCTTTATGGGTGTAAAAGCAATCAATGTAAAAAAAAAAAATCTTCATAACCCCTTACAAGTAGTACAGTGTCACTATGGTGACACTGTACTGCTAGGGTGACGATATGTAAAAAAAAATTAATAATAATAATATAAAAAACTAAAATAAAAATGTACAAATTTTTTTTGAAAAATTATAATTTTTGGTTATAAACTAATTTGGGTTATTGTTTTTTTGCTAAAAAGATAACCGAATAAATTTTGGCTAATATTTATGAAGAAAGATTATTTATTTGCAAAATGTTATAAGAAAAACACTTTTTTTTTTCAAAATTTTTGGACTTTTTCATTTATATAGAAAAAGAAATAAAAATCCCAGTGGTGAATAAATACCACCAAAATAAAGTTTTATCTGTCTCAAAAAAAATGCTAAAACATTCATATGGGTACAGTGTTGTATGACCGCGCAATTGTCATTCAAAGTGTGATAGAGCTGAAAGCTGAAAATTGGCCTGGACAGGAAGGGGGTAAAAGTGTCCGGACTTGAAGTGGTTAAAGTGGAACCAAACCCATCAATGTAACGGTTTCCTAAAATAGTTACATTCCTACCATGCTGGAAATGCTAACTGTCACATTTGCTTGTGTCTTCAACCAAACTATCAAACCATCAAATGGCTGGTGTCATAAATGATCGCATGTGCAGCACCATGGCAATTACAGATCGTACAGTGGCCAAGATGGCAGCTCCCTTGGCTGAAAAGGATAGGAGGGGTGAGTTTCCCTTTAAATTAGTAAAAAACTTAAAAATGACTTTCTATGAGCAAAGCTACCTAATGTGAATCAGCACTTACAACATTATTGGGTATTTTATAGGCTTAAGAACTGAAACCCAAGCAATATCTGAGATTTCCAAATTATATTCAGAGCGTGCTTTTCTAAGGTGTCATGTGGCCTCTCCTAATAGTTTACCAATATTCTGTTGTATGTTTGTTGCAAAGCACAGACACAGCCGCTTTTCAGCCTGCTCTAGTTTTCAAAATGTCCCCCATTGATCTGGTGACAGGATTCTCCAAACTGCGAAGCTATAGATGAACTTATTTAGGTCAAATTACAGATACATCTAAACTTTGTCTACTGGGATTCAATAATGCGTTTGCTACAAAAAGAAACTCTGAACTGCTCTTCTATTTTCATCTGCTCTATTTCTTCATTAGAAAATGTCCTATGGTCATGAGAAAATGGTAGCATGTTCTGCAGGATAGAGAACCAATTACCCTACTCAGTACAATGGGAATTATCTCCTGACTCCAGTGCAGCTTATCCTCGGGCATCATCCATCTTCTTCTGCACTGACATTATTTTTTAATATTAATTCAGTCCTACAATTCACAGTGGAAAGTAAACATGTTATACAAGACACACTAATTTGTGCTTTCTCCTTTCCTCCTCGCTAGTGCATACAGCATAGTATTTATTATGCAGTTGTCCTTTTCACTTGGGATACCTAATCACAGAAAGGATAATTAACCACTAGCCTACAGGGCACTTATACCCCCTTCCTGCCCAGGCCAATTTCCAGCTTTCAGTGCTGTTGCACTTTGACTGACAATTGCGTGGTCATGCAACACTGTACCCATATGAATTTTTATCATTTTTTTGTGACAGGTAGAGCTTTATTTTGGTGGTATTTAATCACCTCTGGTTTTTTTATTTTTTCTTAAACAAACCAAAAACCACTGAAAATTTTGAAAAAAAAAAAGTTTTTTCTTAGTTTTTGTTATAAAATTTTGTAAATAAGTGATTTTTCTCCTTCACTGAGGGGCGCTAATGAGACTGCAGTGAAGGGCACTGATAGGCTGCACTGATGGACACTGATAGGTGGCACTGATGAGGAGGCACTGGTAGGTGGCACTGATGGGCATTGACAGGCATCACTGATGGGAACTGAAAGGCAGCACTTATAAATGACACTGATAGGCGACACTGACTGGCACTGTTAGGTGGCACTGACTGACACTGTTAGGCGGCACTGATCGGCAGCACTGATAGGTGGCACTGACTGGCATTGATAGGTGGCACTGACTGACACTGATGAGTGACACTAAAAGGCAGCTCAGATGGGCACTGATATGTGGCATTGGTGTGGCACTGATGGGCACTGAAATGTGGCACTGATGTGGCACTGGCAGGTGGTATGGATGAGCACTGAGAGCTGGCACTGATGGACACTGACAGGCGACACTGCTGGGGCTACACAGATCATCAGGGCACACTGATCATCAATACTCTGATGATCTGTTTACATGTCCCGTCCGAGGAATGCCGATTACCGGCTCTCCTCTCCTCACGAGCTGTCAGTGTGACAGCTCGTGGGGAGAGAAATGCCGATAACCGGCATTTCCCTGTTTACATGTGATCAGTTGTGATTGGACACAGCTGATCACATGACCGAGCCGACGTCTTCGGCTCTTTCCGTGGATCGGTGATCCGCTGTGTCCGAGAGACACAGCGCACTGCTGATCGCCGCGCTGCGCGCTTAGAATGGGAGGATGTCATATGACGTCCTCCCAGAACGAGAGACCCACCTTGCGTCCGTCATATTACTATACTATTCGGTTTATTATATAGAAATGAAAGGCAAAGCATTTGTGCGTGTGTGTATGTTTGTGTGTGTGTATATATATATATATATATATATATATATATATATATATACAGTAATACCTCGTTTTTCAAATTTAATTCGTTCTGCGGGACTTTTCGTATAGCGAAAAATTTGTAAATCGAAACGCCGTTTCCCATAGGAATGCATTGAAAACCAATAAATCCGTTCCTGAGGGCAGAAAAAAGTAAACGCTACTAAAATACCGCATGAGTTATTTTTTATCAAGTCATGCGGTATTTTAGTAGTGACAACCATATGTTAATGTTTCAGCTGTCAGCAGGGTTCCTCACTGACCGCTGAATGTAAAAGAATTGACAGCAATTTAAAAAATAAATAAATAAATGGTGTGGGGTCCCCCCTCCCATCCATACCAAGCCCTTCAGGCCTGGTATGGATTTTGAAGGTAATTCCCACGCCAAAATTAAAAAAAAAAAAAAATGACGTGGGGGTCCCCCCAAAATCCATATCAGACCCTTATCTGAGCATACATCCCAGCAGGTAAGGAAAGGGGGGGGGGGGATGAATGAGAGCCCCACCTCCTGAATCATACTAGGCCATATGCCCTCAGCATGGGGGGAGCTTTGGGGCAGGGGGGCTCATCCTTCCCAAAGCACCTTGTCCCATGTTGATGGGGACAAAAGCCTCATCACCCGAGTGACCCTGTCCCATGTGACATCTTTAATGTCACATGGCGTGAGGTCACATGTGTAATGTTCCCGGGTGGCCCTGTCCCTTACCTATTTAAGACCTGTCAAACCACCGGAGCAGGAAGCCATAGTCGGAAGCGGAGCCTTTTTTTTATTCTTTTTTTTTTTCAGTTCAGCGGCATCATGATAGATGTTGGATCTAATGCGGGGACATTCTTTTAGTTTTTTTTCTTTTAATAAAGGACTTGTCAAAGACCGTGTCATGTCTTTTTTCACACTACACTTTTTGTTTTTTTTGTGAATGAATATCGAGATCTGGAGGTCCCCTTGTTCACGGGGGCTTCCAGATTCCAATAAGCCCCCTGCTCACAGACCCCCACAACCACCGGCCAGGGTTGTGGAGAAGAGGTCCTTGTCCCCATCAATATGGGTACAAGGTGCTGCCCCAAAGCACCCCCCCCCCATGTTGAGGGCATGTGGCCTGGTATGGTTCGGGGGGGGGCGCGCTCGCTCGTCCCCCCCCCCTTTCCTGACCTGCCGGGCTGCATGCTCGGATAAGAGTCTAGTATGGATTTTGGGGAAGACCTCCACTCCATTTTTTAAAAAATTTTGGCATGGGAGTTCCCCTCAAAATCCATACCACACCCAAAGGACTTGGTATGGATGGGAGGGGGGACCCCACGCCTTTTTTATTTTTATTATTGTACCGGTTTTTAAATGTAATTACTGCTTTTTTTTTCCCTTCACTATAGCTCAGAGATTCAGCTGTCACTTTCCTCCCAGCTAAAAGAGAAAGTTTATTTTTAGTTTATTTCCCCAAGTTAAAAGAAACAATGTTTCCTTTTAGTTTCTTAAAAGAAACAAAGCTTCCTTTAACTCTGGGGAAAGTGACAGCTCTGTGAGCTATAGTGAAGAAAAAAAAAATGGCAATTGCATTTAAAAATCGGCACCGACATACACTTCGTATTGAGAGAACAATTTGTAAAAAATTTGTAAACTGAGGCATTGTTTTCAATGGATTTTCATTCGTAACCGAAAATTACGTTAACCGAGGCGTTTGTAAACCGAGGTACACCTGTGTATTAGCTTTGAATCTAGAGGCCATCTAAAAAAGTTAGGAGTCCGTTTAGTATAGTGTGGGTTGTCAGTGCCCAGGGCAAGGCAAGCAATTTGTGAGGTGCAGGGTGCAGAATGCAGGACATGGGGTGCAGGGTACCGGAGAAAGGGTGCAGGTCACCACAGGACATGGGGTGCAGGGTGCAGAACGCAGGACATGGGATGCAGGGTGCAGAACGCAAGACATGGAGGGCAGAATGCAGGGCATGTGGTGCAGGGTGTAGGACAGTAAAGCAGTCCTCCACTCCCCCTGTGTCCTCCTGCATGTCCTGTGCATGCTCCCCAGCAGTGTCTTCAGAGCAAATTAGACGCAGAGGACAGCTTGTGTGAATAAAACAACATGTCCGTCCCTGGCTGGCTCCTTAGCTGGCTGCTTTGTGGGCTTGCCCTGCTTACTACTTTAAGGACACTGTAGTCCTTTTTCTCACAGGCAGCTGTGGGTGGAAGCAGAAGCTGATGCTAACTAACAGTAATGCGGGTGCAGAAAGGAGAATAAAAAAGATTGGTAGCGGGAGCTCAGTGAAGTGAGTCCCCTCATGCCGTGTTCAGTCGCTCTCTCCTACCCCTCTGCCCAGTCCACTTCACTGACTTCACAGGTCGGGTGTCACTGCCTCCTCCTCTACTCCCCTCACCCTCCTGCCTGGCCCCACTCCGAGCCACATTACTGGCTGAACAGTGTGTTCAGGTTTCAGGTGGACACATTATTCAGACCAACAGTGAATGGGTTGACAAAAGCTCAGGCACCAGGATGCGACCTGGCACCTCGGATTTGTCATGCCATTTTATATGTATGATATAATTTTTTTTTTTATAAGTGATCACATAACCTCTGTTCTCAGCTGCGTAAGGAGCTTAGAGAGGTGTGGGTGGGAAAAAAGCAGGACACTGATCTCCCCAAGTCTGATCACTGAAGCACAGGCAGGCTTTGCTCTCAGCACAGCTACAAAACTGACCACACTGAAATGGATGTGCTCTCATGCTTAGTGTGGTCAGTTTGAAATAGGAAATCAGAGGGACTGGTAGGATCACCTGGTGTTTCAGACAACGGAAGCAATATAAAGAAAACAGGATACTTTTTAATACAAATATATGGTACAACAGACACATATCAGGAATATGAAATGCTCGGGTAACATATTTTTTAAGCTGGCCATAATTTCAGCTGGTTCATTTGATAGGCCATAATTGAAGCTATGGTTGACCCTGTTGGAACCCTCCTAACCAATATCATTCAATCTGAAAATTGAAAGAGCTTGGCAGAAAATCGCCAGCTAAAAAGCGGCTGCATCAAATCTGATGCAGCCCTTGTTTGGGTATTCAAAAAGCTGTAGGAGGAGGAAATACCTCCATCAACACTGTTTATTGTGGATGGGGGGGATCAATAAATTTCTCCCATTCAGTCTGCAAGGCTTAATGAGTAAGGCCAGTTTTACAGACAAGTGCTCAGACTTTGCCTCCCTGAAAGAGAAAATATGGCCCTTGCTCACTACCTTTAATGAGGATATACTGGACCTTGGTATAGAATTTCTGTTTGTTGAAGCAGCCAGTAGGCTTCTTACATTAATTTTAACAACTTGCAAACAATAACAGTTTGAACACCACTGTTTGCTGGGAGCAGCGCAGACACTTTCACTTATTATACATGAGAGCTGAACACTAATGGGATTACAGTTAAATGGATTACAGCATGGTGGAAGGTTTCATAACGATTTTAATGTATCACTCTGAAGATGAAAGACGCAAATGCCTTGGACCCATCCGTTTGAGTACACTTCCATGCAGCAAGTCTTGCATAAGAGAGACATATGATCACATTTTCTGTTGAGTCTTAAAGTAATTATGGTAAAGTGCACAAGATGTTAATATGAATCTAAAAAAACAGCTTTCGAAAACGAAAGACCAAAAATAGTGTTAAATGAAGTTGAACTGCGTTGACCTTCAGCCTGTGATCTTTCCAAATAATCAATGCAGGAAGCAGAGAGATAGCCAAGATTATAATAATCCCATACAAGCATTCCTTCCGCTCTTCTCAAAGATAAAAGAAAAAAACAAACTTTCCAACATAAACAGGATTAGTGCCTGGTGAAAGTTCACCTACAAAAAAACATGACCCTGAGAAAAGTCTGGTCAGGCATTTTTTGCATTTGCACATGGTTGCATCAGCGAACAGTTCTGTGATCGGAAAAAAGCAGATCCTTAGCCTATTACACATGACCTGACTTTGGTGATAGCACACACTCAGTTGTCTATATCGCTGTCATCAAAGATCTCCACCTAAGCAACCCATAGGTTATGCGATTTTCTTTCCTTCTGCCACTGGTGAAAGGAAAGAAAATCGCTCAGTTCCCCCATCAACACAGTCAATATTGATGGGGGAATCTCGTCAGTAGTACTATTATGTTCTGCTGCTGGGGAGCGGCTATAGCTGGTGGCAGTAATCACATGTAAAAAAAACGATGGATCAACTTGGGTGCAACCAGCCTGCCCATAGATGGATTGAATCTCAGCCAGTCTCTGCTGAACCGGCCGAAACTCTATCCTACTATGGCTGGCTTAAGGCTATTCAAACACTTATAGATTTCTCAATCCACATTAAACAGCACAGATGGAAGTCTCCCCTGCCAGCTATTGTAATAAAAAGCCGGCATCCTAGACAGTCTGAATACCCGAACCAAGACTTCATCTAATTAGATGCAACCACTGTTCAGCCAACAATTTTATACCTGGCTTTCAATCGAAGTTTGTTGAGCATGGTGGTGCTGGCAGGGCCACCCGAGGCTCTAAATTCAGACTGGACATTTACCTCAACAAATGAGGTGGATGGAGGAACCCCCCTGGAACATTGTATTCTGACAGCAGCACCCAAGAATTATCCATTACATTGTGTAGCTGGAACTGCAGCCTGAACAAAAAAAATCTACACTGCTCAAACAAAATTAAAGGAACACTTTGAAAACATCAGATCTCAATGGGAAAAAATATCATACTGGATATCTATACAGATATGGACTGGGTAATGTGTTAGGAACGTAAGGATGCCCC